GTGAGTTAATTACATGTGCATATGAAATTTAGCGTGAGACGACACGGCGCAATAGTTATTAAATTAAACAATTTATTTATAACCGAAAGAATTTTCAGATAATTACATGGTGTTATCGTCGAAATAGTAGTTATTAATATTACAGTATACCTATTTTTTTTTTATAGATAATCGAGAGGATCAGACGTAATAGTATTGAGTTATATTTTAGTATGAAATAATTTGGTGTAATATCAAATATCAATCATACTTTCGTTACGTCATTCAGTATAACTGCGTATATTTACAGTATAACTATATTTTAGTACACAAATCATTATAACATATTAAGTTTTTTTTTTTGTTTTTAAAAACAAAGCCTATAATATATTACGAATTAAAGAAGAAAACAATAACTATTAACATACAAATATTTTAACAGTCATATCATGGACTCATGGATAGGATAGATGAAATAAAAATAAAATAATTTAGAGGTGCAATGAAAACTAAAATTGTAATTTTGAACCAGGTCACAACTTACAGTAAGTATGAAAATATCTAGTTAAATAAAAGAAATATAATATCGTATAATTAAAAAATATAGCATCATAGTTGAAAATTGATAATTAAAAAATATCATATTTAACTATAACATTATATTATTATAAATTATAATTTATAACTATACATAGCCATATTATAGATATCAATTAGAATATTATTTTTGTATGTCCATTTCACTGTGCAATAGTCTTGATATTTCGCCATTGTATCAAACCGGAAACCTCATTAATTCGTCATATTTTTATTTTTAGATTATCGCTTTCATAATTAAATGTAATTTAAACTTTTGATAACATTGTTGGAATTAAAAAAAATACATAAGCTAATTGTCAGTGATATTAATTACACCTACAGGCATAATTCAATAAAAATGTAATGAAGTTAAATAAATAAATTTTAATTTTTACTCGATTTTTGTTGTTAATGATAAGCCCGCGGTACTATGGTTTCATCAGAGTATAGACACTGTCCGATATTGACCAAATCAGGCGACATTGGCCTTGAACACGGTCTCCAGGGAGGTGTGGCATACATTATCATTTAAATAAATAATATCAATATTATCACAGAACAATATATTGTTGAAAATTAGTTGAAACCGTTGAAAGAACACTGAATAATAATAAAAAAATGCAACTATTGCAATTTCAAATTTACTCGTTTCTAGCAATGTTTTTTTTACATAAGACTCGTGAAAATCACTCGGGCAATGTATTGTTTCTGTTTTTATAATATCGTAACAAATAGGGATACATATTACCAACATCTAGTCAGATTACGGATGCGGTTTTAACTTTTAGAATCCAATACTTCATACCGTAGGGATACAGTAGACCGCCCAGCTAATTGAGTGTCGTTTCTATATTGTTCTGTGGTCTCATATAGGTCAAATTAACAAGATTACTGTATTTACTATTTATGTCACCAGTCACCAAAGGCATAGTGTTTGATACCATTTGGTCTTATCAAAATGTGGTTATCGGCTGATCGGTCACCAGTAACATTTACCATGGTTTATCATTACATAGTAACGTTATCACCTCCTATCCGCGTCATTAGCAGTATATTTAATATTATGTTGCTGACCGATCCGGACATCCGGTTGTTGTAAACCAAGCATTGCATCGCGTGGTTTCGCCATCTTTGCGTTTATCGTTTTTCAGTGTGTTTCTGTACATGCGGTGGAGCTGGTGACGTTGAACAACGAACAAGGTTAGACATATTTCTAGATATATTAAATGTTATAACTTATAATCTATACAGTGGTCGCCAATCTTTTGGACCTCACGGACCATTAAACACGTAACTCTAAATTCTATGAACCACTTATACTCATAAGTCATAACTCTTACATACCAATTTAAAAAAAATAAAATAAATTTACTCATATTTTATGAGATATCAATAAAGGGTTTTTTTTATTTATAACAAAATTATTTAAGTTAGTTTAATTATTATTGATTACAAAGAAAAATAAAAGTTAAAATGAAGACTGGATTCGAATTATTAGTGTTCTTAGAACGTATTGCGAATTTGCGATAACGATGGGCGGAACCTACAATATCATACATATATTATACGATATTAGGTTTATTTATTTTATAACAAGCGATAATAATGACAATATTATTACTTGTTTATTCTTATTTGCTGTAAACAGAATCTACATACGGCAACATTATACAATACTTTTATATATTACGATTATAAACACATTACAAATAATGTTCGAATTTTTCTGTAGACCACCAAATTTTTACTGTGGACCACCCGTTGGCGACCGCTAACGGCGCTGACTTATATATTATATTTTTAAATAATAATTTGTATTAGTGGATAAGCAATATAATGTATTAAGAAGGTATAGAATGGGTCGACCTGGTAAGGTGACAATTGTGTTTGTATAGTGTGCACTGTGCACTGTGCACACATATTTAAAGAGATAAGAAAAAATACAGTCTGTTGCATGTTAAATATATTATAATTTATTGGTAACTTTTTTCGGTGTACAAGTAAACAATCACCATATACATGCGCAGATATACGTGTCTACTCATAGACTGATATGAATAATATTTTTTACCTTGAAATTGTTAAAGGTATGCATTTTCTGTATATGTGATATAATAATATATTATAATTTATATTCATGTTTAAATGTTTAAAATCTTATTGTTGCAATATAATATTGGTAATAGATTGCGATATTACTTAATATGTGCGTATTCGTCATGTATTGATAAAACATTGAACTCAAAATCAAGCAAGACAACTGCGAGTGAACACATAGGTACTAATACGTCTTACAATACGCGGGGCATGCCCTTTATTCTTCAAAAACTTCTAGCAATAAAAATGCTCAAATATTTTCACGTATTAATACCTAAGCGTAAATCACGAGGGACTTGATTGTCTCCGACTGCAGGAGGGTGAAATTCGATTAATTGCTTTATCCAATGACGATGAGTATAATATGTTGAGCCGAGACGTTAAAAATTCCAAGCTCCTTTTAATGTACTGTTGTAATACGGACGCGTAACGTGTTCAGTTGGCGTGGTATAGATATAAAATCTAATCTCAAGTTTAATTATTATAGAGCTAAGGTCTTAGTGCGCTGAACCGATCATGATCAGTACAAAATATATATCTACATAGGTGTTTAACATACTTGCATAACATAGTACTCATAAGTTATACTACCAAATGAGCTGGAGTGATTTAGCTATATACATCTAGAGTCTAGACGAACAATCAAACTAGTGGGTACCTATCGTTTATAGATGGATATAATAGTATATACAGTGGCGTATTTTCAATTTTTTTGTGGGGGGGGGGTCTCAATATTAAATATAAGTTAATAACATTATAATAAAATACATACGAGTTATGATTTAATAATGATATTATTTATATTATATTAAATTTCACTATTATTATGAAAATAAATGTCAATTAATAGTTAAACCCAAGTTATATTATATAAATCAATATTATTTTTTTCTGGGGGGGAGTCGAGACCCGGGACCCCCCCCCCCCCTAATACCCCCCCGCCACTGATATGTATATATATACAGTTCTGTTGTTGTTTTTAGTTCTGTATCAACGACGTGTACAGAATTTTATTCGACATATAAAAACATAATATCGAGTGTGTAACGGCACCCTGAATATCTATACGTCTGCGATAATGTATTACGATTATTATTATTATTATTGTACCTCGTGTGCGCTTAACATTTCATTTCGAAAACATTAATAATATAATACACCCATGTACGACCGCGGGCGGCGTAGGAGAGCTGGTTTATTGTTCGTGCAGACGTGTGTGCAAACTTTATACCATCAGTGTCATATACCTACGTTTTATTATTATTATGAGCGCATTCGACGTGAATAAAACATATTCGAACTTTAAATTTTATATTCTATGTTTTACGATGAACACAATACAATAATGACATTGGCTTATACGCGCGGTGAAGAGCTGTAGAGAGTACCTACGTCGACTCGACGGCGAAGCTGATCCGCCGGAAATCAACGGTAATGTGTCGGGGCGGAAGGGGTAAGTTATTTTTGTGCGTGCGCGCGAGCTCGTCGACGGCCGTCGGAAGTCTGTGTAGAGGACGACGATGACGACGATGGTGGCGAGTCCCGCCCAGCGGCCGTGGCCACGCCTTCCCGGTGGTCCGAACGCGCACGCGTCCATCGCCCAGCCACCGCTTCCACTGTCGCCGACGACGTCGTCGTCGTCGAGTAATTGATTATTTCCGCTACCGCCACCTTCTTCTGCACGATCAGACCGGGAACCGGAAGAGGTCGCCGCCTCCGCGCTCGTTTTAGCCGCTTACAAAGATATTTCCGGTCTACAGCTTGGCGAGTTGATGGGGCGCGTAGGTTGCGCGCGCGCTGCCGAGCTCGGCGCATATATATGTATATTGTATATAGGCAGTTATGTAGACGACAACGGTGTAAACAAGAAAACAAAATTCGCCGCTATCGTGTCGGGGTCGATGCGCGATTTTGGCTTTTACCCTTCTTTCTCGCATTAATAATAATAATAATAATAATAATATCGTTTCTTCGTGCGTACGTCGGTGAGTCTTTTTTCTTATTTCTCCTCCCCACTCCCTTTTCCTGCGCTATCGGACCACCCCTTCACCGCACTCGTACGTAATGTTACGGGGATGGACGAAACGCTCTACACGCGCACACGAACACACTCAAGCGTGCATAATCGAACCGCCTCTGGTTGCTGCTGTTGCGCTGTTGTTGTCGCCACCCACACGCAATAACTAAAAAGCTGCCGACGCGACTACGACTATTTCGCGTGCCGGTAATGAGCATACGACGATAATAAACGCACCGTTAACGCCGTGGCGCTTTTTTTTTTCGGAAACGTGATCGACGCTCATCGCGACGACGACGACAATGACATTGCAACTATTATTATTATTCCAGCCGTAGTTGTAAATAATAATTATTTCACCTCCGGTAAATCACTACTGTACCATAATTACACCGTCGTCGGCGGGAAATGATCGACGACGACGGCGTTTGATTTCGTTAACGCGCCAAAACCACGGCACCTAAAGCCGTCATCATCTCCGAATAATTCTTCGTAAAATTATTATTATATAACAAATACCTCTTGTTAATCGCGACGCGTCGTGTTTTATTGGTACACGCCGTACGATTTTGTACGTCCACACTCCGTCCACGTGTTAATAGCCGGTAAGTGTTTACAAGAGTATTTTATTCTATGCTATACAATATAATAATATACGTTATATACAATTATTACCCATTTGCCTACAATATATCTTTGAAAATATTGCATTTAAATATATCATTGAGTGTTTAAAATATAATAATATATAATATAAAAGTTTCAAGTCTCCACGAACAATTTTTTGAATTTAAACAAAATAATGATCGTTATTTACAGTTTGAATAACAATGTAATTTTGTCCAAACTTAAATTTTAAATGCTTATAAAGATTGATTGTGAATATTTATTTTAAATATTTTTATATAGCTGTTAGAAAATCTTTTGTTGAAACTATTTTTAAATATTTTGACCAGAAGAAAATAATTGAAATTTGTGGTTAAAACTAAAAATAATTAAGAACATTTCAAGTATCTATAGTTACTCGTTTGGGTCGAAATTCTAGTTTTTCTTAAAAATTTTTGTTTGTTTTTATTGATTATTTTGAAAATACTAGACTTTTTTAATTTTGATGTTTAAAAGAACAAACAAAATCCAGTTTGTTTACAGAAACCACCTTTAAAGTTTTAATTCGAAATATTTTTTTAAATACTTATCTTGTGTACAATCACAAAAAAAATACACATAATTATAGAACTAATACTTTCATTGTTTAGCCCAGAGTCTAAAAATCTTTCTTGCAATCGCAATATAGTTGATAGTAAATAATACTTTGCTATATCTTCATATAGGAAAACCAACGTTTGGTACCTAGTACCTAGATAGTGACCGGAATAATCACAAATATTCGAATAATAATTTCAATATTATTTGAGTATAAATCTTTCCTACTACGTTTATAAATTATCTAAAGTGGTAAAAGTTATTAAAGTTTTTATATTCCATCAAAACATTTTATTTGATGAGAGTAAAAGTGAAATAGTTTGCTTATAAATTAATTAATTTTTTAAGTTTATTTTGTACACCGTACACTTAACACTTTTCATCTGCCTTATCACGATTTCAGTCTTTAAAGTTCTTATTCATGTAATTTAGTGATGAATTTAAAAAGCTTACAGAATATTTCATTCGCTTTTCATGAAAAAATTAAAAAAAATATATTTAATGAAAACTTGCTACCCCCCCCCCCCCCAAAAAAAAAAAAAGAAAAAAAATAATTACTGCCTCGTGAGATTGTATAGTTTGTAAACTCGGTTTGCTAATAAAGTATTTTAGAAATTTTAATAAATTCTATTCAATTTTGTATTTAATATTAATACTATACTTTGTAGTCATATAGGTAGATAAATCAACAAAATAAATAGATATTATATAATTATACAAATAAATATACTATTAGTAATCTGAATAATATAATAGTTAAATATTATATTATATAAATAATTATTATACTATGCTTTGGATTATGGAGTCTTGTAGATATAAAATATTTATTTTTTACCTATTTAAAAATTAAAAATAGTTTTATAAGTTATAAAAGATTCTCTTATTTAGAATTTTAACTTTTTTTTATATAATATTTCAATAGATAACACAATACATAATATATAATTGATAAAGTTAAATTGGATTTGGAACTATTTTTTACTTATACTTTAAAAATAAATGTCTAGTTAAAAAAAGATAGCAGCAGAACTACGGTTCATGGGGCCAATAAAGAATCATAGATCAATTTATACTTAGTATATAATTAAATATATGTATAGGTATTAAAATAGATTTAAGAAAAATAAAAGTTAATGATTTTTTGTAAATAATTTTAAGAGACATTATTGATTATAGACATTTTAGGCATTATTAAATAAGCCATATTACTTTGTCAGATATGTATATTACCTATAATATTTATTTATTTATTAAAATAATTATAAAACATCCAACTAATAAGTAATATATTTTAATTTTAAGTATGCATATATACATATGAAAAAAAAATATAATAGAATTGTGAATGCTATATTTAATTTTTTCTTTTAAATTAGTTATGTTGATCAACGAAAATTCAAAGCTTATAACAAAACGTAAAACTGAAATAAACGAAAAATAAAAAATAAATAAATATTTATTAATTACGATGAATTATAACTGTCTCGATTCATCGCCTGTAGCAGAGAACTTTTATTTTATTGTTTTCTTTCTATGTATTTGTAATAGCCGAGGTGATTTTTTTTTTTTATTCAGAAGTCTAAATAATACGAGGATTGAATTATAAAAATATACATCTACTTATTTATGAATAAAATATAGTTGAAATGTTGAATGTAATATTTATATTTTAACTTCAATACAAGTCTTACCTAAGACTTCTAAGGGTATAGATGCTGATAATTGATTGTGGGTCTAAATGATAGAAAAAAAAAATACAGCTCTGTTTTTATCTTTGTTTAAACATTGTAATATTGGTCGCATTGATTTATACACTTCTTCACAAGTTATTTTTTGTTAAGAAATAATATCAGTAAAACATCATTGATTGTACGTATTATGTGTAATTAATCAATAAAATTACTGTCATTCAATTTAAAGTGAATTACTAAAATGTTATCATTTTAATAATATAATATATAGCTAGTTTAAACTTAAAAATTGCTATTATTTAAATACTTATGTAATATTACGATAAAAAATTGACACAAAATATACACTTACATAATTTATTAGACTATTATTTTCAATAAAAAATTGTAATTTAACTTAACCTACCTACCTAATTATCAATAATTACATTTATTTTTATTAATGAAACAATATAAAATTATTAATATATCCTTTAATTTTAAATTTCTAGAAATAATAAATGTATTTACTAATTTAAAATATAAAAAATTTATTTAAAAAAATCCGGCCGTTTTGGAAATTATAAAATAATTTTTTAAATTAAATAAAAAGTTATTCTTGTTTTCTTCTTTTTTATTTTCTCTAGTAAACTGAGATGGTATTTTTTCTTCAGAAATAACTGTCAGTATATGTTTATTGTTTTTATTATATAAATACATGTAAATATGAGTATAGTATACGCATTGATGTGTATCTGGTTTATTTAACTATGACCAAATGACCAAAATGATAAAAAAACTATTATTGTAGTTAATAATATCGATGGTACTTAATTTTTCAAGAAAAAAATATGCCTAAATAGGTCTAAGTATGAGCTATAGAAATATAAAAACATTTACTTATACAAGTATAGAATCTAACTCAATGGTATCATTAAAAATTTGAACAACTATAGGTGATTTTCACTGTTATAGATATTTAAATATGTTATATTGTTTTTCATTGAAAATTTACAATTTAGATTCAATTATTGTAATTATTAATATTATATAACCTAATGCGTAGTTATAAAACATTATAAAAAGGTCTTAAGTAAGATTGTTCGAGATAGATTTTATAGTTGTATTTAAATAAGATCAAATTTGTCTATTATATACTGGTAGGCTATAATCTTGCCATCATATAATATAGTTTATAAGCCATAAGGTCTAAACTTAAAATACCTACTTATTTCTTGTACATTACTGCGGTTTGTAGTGGTTTGTGGAGGACAAATAGTTTTTTTCATTGTTTAAGGTAAGAGTATAATAGTACCTATAGAAAGACATTCATACTTGAACATAATCTTATATCTATTTATTTATATTCAGTGAACTGAAAATCTTTTTTGAGTTGACCAAAGATTTTTTATTTGATTATTTATTCTTTAAAGTATAAAAATACGATTTCACAAAGGTATTATTTACATGCCATTTTATATACAGATGTACTTTATGGCTTATACATTATAATAATATTTATTTTATATTTTATTATTTATTTTTTTTTTTTCGAAATCTTGTGAGAATTTAAAACGCATTTTTATAATGAGTATTTTTACTTTCTTAATATATTATATCATTTAAAGTTCAATGTAAATTGTTTAGTCATCACTAAAATAATTCGTATAGAGCTATTGTAATAAGTTATTACTAATAACTAATAAGTATGTTATATATTCAACATAATTTACTATCACATTTTTATGATAACAGTTTTTATAATTTTGTATATTAAAAATAAAAATAAATATTGTTTATATATATTAATAAAATATATATATTAAGTTTCAAGAATTAATGTGAATGGTTTTTATAAATTAGAAAAATAATTGATAAATGTATAAGCAAGTATTACTAAAGCACAAACTGCTTTACTAATCAGTAATCTAAATCCATTAAAATGCTAAATTGAAATGTATTCAATTTATTACAATATGTCAAATGTCAATATATTTATATATGATATTGTGGTCATTCAGTATTCTTACAGTTACAGTTTTATTTCATAAAATTTGGGCAACTTAACTTTTATACAGATAATATTGTGTTCAATAATTTAATTCAAAATCAAAACATTATTCGTTTTATCTACAGCAGTTTATATTAAACAGGCACGTTATATTTTGTACCATAATCAGATTATTATGATTTAATAAACTATTAATAAAAATAAAATAGATAAGCTTTAGTACAAGTTGTTGAGTTCAAACATTTCAAATGAAACTATAATGATTATTATAAATAAGTAGATGTTGTGATTTATACATATAAGTTTTACCTTACATACTCGTGTGAGGTATAAAATAGCCTGTTAATCATTTGTAGACTGCAACTAAAAAGCGAGCTTTAGAAACTTCGGTTTCTGGTGTATTTCATATCAATATCAAAACGTTTGATCACTTTCTATTTACTAGTAAATACGAACGTTTATTTGTTTTTTGTAGTAGGTAACTGTTATATAACTAGGTAGTAACTATACAAATAAGGAAATAGTGCAATACCCATTTTATAACCCAGGGAAGTTTGTCTTTGATATATTTTACGAGAAGTAAGTATATTTTAAACTTGAATAAATAAATAGAACTTCTCATTTGAATCCAATAAGTTAACATTTATAACCCTTTCCCTCTTATGCATTCCTTAATTTGGGCAAAATTTTGATGAAAATTTAACAATATTTTTTACAT